AATTTTGTGTCGTTTGTGTAGTTTTGTGTAGTTTTATATAGTTTTTTGTAGTTTTGTGAATGTGTGGGTAGTTCAGAGGCGTAGCGAGGGTGGGGAGGGGGGTGCGGTCCACACCGGGTGACACCAAGGCAAAAAATTGCAAAATGAACATAAGAAAAATGCTTCTTGCCAGTTCCATTAATGATGAATAAAATTTAAATAGTCTCTGTGAAGCGCGTCCACTGCCCCCCCCACCCACGTACAAAATAGAAAAAATATATATAACTTTTACATAGATAATATATAGGCCTACTCATAACCAGTCTCTCTTCCCCCCCCCCCACTCCACCCCAAAGTTTCAATTGCCGCCAACCCCTGGGGAAAATTTCTGAAGGTAAGTCTGATGTTAATTTTAATAATTGTAAAAAAAAAATTGTATTGTTTAATTATAAACACACACACAAATTACAAAAAATGAAATTATTTTTTTTTTTGCAATTATTTATACAAAATATATCTCCGGTTGTATATTCTTGGTTCATATTTCTAATTTTCATCAACTTTTTTTTTTAAAACTCTACATTTTTTTTTTATTTTATGTCATACAAGGTTAAGAAAATCATTTCCAGAATCAATATACACATACAAATAAAATCATGCATCCCCAATATATTTACTTTTAAAAATATTTCTCTAATCCAATAAGGAAAACCAATCATTTTTAAAACAATGCGATTTATTTATTTAATTAAAACGCGAAAATAAATAAATATTTCAAAAGCAGGCTTAAGACTTAATCTTAGTCACAACAGGTAAAACTTTGGTGAAAAGTACACGCGGAAAGTGAAGATAACCAAAAAAAACAACAAAACAACGAAAATATAATTGGAAGTTTAAATTGAAAACTCAAAGAATAAGTGAAAAGGGTTAAGATATTTTCAGGTACAATATGAATTTAATTGCAAAAGTTCTAGAACCACTTTGTTGCTAAGAACTAAAACCAATAGAACACTCCGTGTTTTTGTGGTCGGGCACTTATCAAATAATGAAGCACTTGAATGGTAAATGCAGGAATTCCCAGTCATAAGCAAAACAAGAAACTTAAAGCATTGTTATTTTTATTTTATTTCTATTCTTGTCTGATTTGTAGTGCAGTTTCAGAAAGTACTTTTAATTTAAATTGAAGAGTGGCGATAGCTAAATGAAAGGGTTGTTTTATAACAACTAAATTTTATTCACACATTTTGAATGAGCATTACATTACTATTTTACTTAACACAGAAAATAAAATATAAAAACAAAGGGCTTTATTTTGGTGTTTTATTAAATGTATATAATTATATATATAATTATATATATATATATATATATATATATATATATATATATATATATATATATATATATATATATATATATATATATATATATAATTATATATATATATATATATATATATATATATATATATATATATATATATATATATATATATATATATATATATATATATATATATATTATATATATATATATATATATATATATATATATATATATATATATATATATATATATATATATATACATATTAACAGGTTGCATTGATGGTAGAAAGTTGATATTGAATGAGTACCAAGTACAAGAATTGCACAATGTGTTGCAGACCAGAGTTCAAGCTTTCAGTGTTATGCTTTATTAATTATTATTAACTGGATTACCTGACATCAATTTGCGTAATTAAAGTTGGCTGCGGCGAGAGATAGATGCCAGGGGGTTGAAGGTAGGCCTAACATTAAACTTGCATGCATATTTCACCGGCGTGGAAGTATTCCAAGTCACGTTTAGCTTGATTTAAATGCACTGCCCGTAACAGCCTTAGCAATAAAAAGATAGGAGAAGGAAAGGGGGAGTAACTGATGGTGGGTGAAACGAGGGGAGAGAATAAAAAGTTACGTGCTGTTTAATGAATCGTGTTGATTGTAGGGAGATAACCGCTAATAGAATCCTAATAGATTTTGACACACTTATCTATCTCGGAAAAGGTTGTCGCAATTAAAGCTCGCAATTGAATCAGAGTGTTGATGTTAGATCATTTATTTTAACTTAGCAAATAATTAAGTGGATCATTAAGCTGTAAAGATGATTACACCGATAATCTAGAAAACGATTGAACGGTCAACGACTTGAAAATCTTACGGCTTAAGTATTTTGGTAATGAGGTCTTACACCGGAACTTTAAGGTTAGATAATTTAAAATGGAAACGCTGTTAAAATTAAATAAAGCGAGAGTAAGTTCCCCTAAACTTTCTCATTTATTCTTATATAACAGTAAAGTTTGGGGTGCTACCTCCAGAGGATTTGAGGTAGATATAGAAATATAGCAGTTTGTGAAGTAGCCCTGGTTTATTTTTATTAGTTGGAGAAAACACAGGCGAAAAACCTGACGATCTATGGGACAAGAGAAGTAGAGTTCACCAGTTTCTGCGACTGTGGCATATGAAGGGATAATGTGGTCAGTCTTATGCCCAGCCGCCTTTAATTTACCTAACATATTTTAGGTACCCTTCAAAGCTGGGTGGACTCAAGGACGGTTTACTGACCGGGTTAGCAGTCTAGCTCAATAGAAAACTACAAAATGGATACAAACTTTTGCATGAAATCTTGTCCACTGAACTGAAACGCAACTCACGTTATCTTGTTCATATTCACCAACACACCGATACAAATACACAGACAGACAAGATTGCAAAGCTGAAGTTTTTTCCGACTCAGGAAGGTGTAAAACGCGACGTTTTGTCAAAATCTATTTTGCGTGTTTTGTTTAATGTTGTTTTTTTTTGCATGATTACTATAGAGTACCCCCATTTATAAGCCTACTCCGCATTCGAAAAAAATAAAGTCACATATATAAGCTGGAACAAGCTACCCGCAGCCAGAAGATTTAAGCCATACCCTCAGACTCCCCAGCCTTCGTTTCTTTTCTTATTACCTAACTCTAAAATCATCATTAGAGAAAGGGAGGCTCACTTAAAATAATTACTGGCCTGCCGATCGTTGATATGGTTTTAATTCAATTTCTCCCTACCAGGAATCCCTCTCTACGTACCTGCAGGTATGTGGTTCCAGAAAATCTAGACATTTTTTTTTATAGGGCTAACAGAATAATGTGCTGTTTTATTGATAGGGAAGTGAGTAAGAGGTGAACTGTCGTTTAGTAATGTTCAGTGTTTTGTTGGGTTTTGTAGATAATTAATTGAAAAAAAAACCAACTAAAAATGCCATTTTTTAAAATATATTTTTTTAGCCTAAGACCTTGAGTAATGTTCAGTGTTTTGTTGGATTTTGTAGATAATTAATTGAAAAACAAACTAAAAATGCCATTTTTAAAATATATTTTTTTAGCCTAAGACCTTGAGTAATGTTCAGTGTTTTGTTGGATTTTGTAGATAATTAATTGAAAAACAAACAAACTAAAAATGCCATTTTTAAAATATATTTTTTTAGCCTAAGACCTTGAGTAATGTTCAGTGTTTTGTTGGATTTTGTAGATAATTAATTGAAAAACAAACAAACTAAAAATGCCATTTTTAAAATATATTTTTTAGCCTAAGACCTTGAGTAGCGTCACTAGCTCGACCTCGGGCGACAAATCGTAAGGTTAGTAAAAGTGTCACCCCACCCACTCCAACATTTTTTTTTTGCATTTTCGGTTTAGATTCACTTTTTTTTAACTGATAAAACACCGTTTTAACTGTCTTCTTTACTTTTCTTCTTCTTCGTTCTTAATTGTAATGTTGGAAGGAATTTCCTCTAACACAATTAAGTATTACGGTATTACGTGTCAACTTCTTATGCGGCGTATAAGCCGTTGACTCTGAATTCAGCCTGCTTTTCTTTGTGGATTTGCTTCCATAGCCTTTGTCAATCGAAGAACAAAGAAGGCAGTAGTTGTTCGATTTTTGAGTTGTCTCCTAGAAGAGTGGCTGTCCCCAGCTATCGAGCCACATCCGCCTCGGGATTCGAAATTTTTAACATTATTTTTTTTATTTGACTATATGCCAGGGTATTACACTTAATGATCGTCCATAAATTATGTCACACTCGTAGAGGGATGGGGGGGGGAGGTTTCCGTAATTTTGTGACGGTGTGTGATGAGGGGGACGGGTGTTCAGATGGTGTGACTTCACACTTTCGCTTTATAAAAAAGCAATGTTAGAAAACGAGCTACTTCGCGTCTTAGAAACCCGTTTTAATAAATTGTTGTAGGAACTGGTTAAAATACTTTATGATAACAGAGTTCAGACAAGATTTTGGAAAAATATCGATATTTTAAGAAAAATTCAATGGCAATTTTGAGGAGGGGGGTGTTGTAGGCTGAGGTATGACGTCATTTTAGGGGGGGGGGGTCTGGTTTTTTGTGACAATGTGTGACCGAGGGGAGAGGGAAGGTAACAATCGTCTCAAAAAAAAGCGTGACGTCATTTATGGATGACCCCCTAAGTGAATAGCCTATTGCAGAAAGAAATCGCTGTTAAAATAAAATTGTCAGTGTGACGAGGAATCTGCGATACTGAGGTGTAGGCCTATACCGTGCAGAGTTTCTTCCAGGCATATAATTTATATAGAAAATATATACTTTTAACAGTATCCGCCCCCCCCCCACGAAGAAAGTCTACCGCCCCAGCCCCCCCCCCCGACCCCCCCGAAAATTTCAAGTGCCCCCCCCCCCCCCCCCGGAGAAAAAAAGTCTGGAAGAAACACTGTTACCGTGTGCCGTTATTGTAGATAGGGGATAAGGCTTTATTCTTATTAGTTTTAAAAGCAAAATAATATTATACAGGCCTATATTTTTCCCTTCGTCCATTTAAAACTAATTAAAACCATTAGATACGTGTCTAGCCTACCAAAAAGAAGTGGAAATATTATCATTTGTTAAAAACTAATCTAAGTCCTTGACTAATCAAATGTGTAGTACAGTTACTCGATAAACAGCTAAAGTAAGCTAAAGGTTAAAGTTAAAGGTTTGACCTCGAGAACAAAGGTGAAAGTTCATAGGTGAATTTACACCACTGACAGAGAACAACATTGAACAATGGAGGACCAGTCTGTACACCGGTTTCGCGAATATTTACGTATAAATACTATGCACCCAACGCCTGATTATGGTAATAAAGCATCGATTCTTATACTTATTTTAATGTATGTCTAAAATCTAGTCTAGAGTTAATTGATATTGTGATTCTTTGCCATACATTTCTGCTTTGTCATGCACATTTCATAATTTTAAAAACTCGTAGGCTGCAGTGCTGAGTCTAACACTCTAACTCTAACTCTAATGAGTCCGTAATAATGATGTCTTACTCTGGTCCTCAATCAAGTAGAATCTAGATCTATATCTAGTATCTAGATCTAGATTATTCTAGATCATCTAGATCTAGAGTCTAGATTTAGATCCTATCTAGCAAGTAAGGGCTAGGCCCTCTATTTTACTACTCTAGATCTAGATCTATACTATAATATACAATATACTCAATATACTAATACTCTATACAGCAGCGTAGCTAGGATTTTTGGGCCCCTATACAAAAATTATAATTGGGCCCCTACCTTAATCTGTAAATTTTGTATTTTATACATTATAAGTCCATCATAGTTGTGTAGGCCTATTTATAATTATACTGTATTATTACGTAGTACCACATAGCGTAAAATACCTTTGATTTTATATCACTTTTATGAAAAAACAAACTAACAAATTAACTGTAGCCTGTAACCTTTAAGTAACCTAACACAACAGTAGCTTCACGAGGTTCACAATTTAGGTTAGGCGTGATACCATGACGAAATAAATAATTAGAGTTGAAAAGTCTTGTAAATTTTATATTGAGGATCCTGACAACGACTGGGGGGGGGGGGGGGGGGGGGGTTGGTGGCGCACAATACTAACTATTAAGAAAACCCTTAAATGTTGCTTTGTTCCTGTTAAATAAAAAAAAATGAGTTCACAAATTCATGCTATTTGGCAAAGAGGGAGGGGGTGTGTGTGTGTGTGTGTTGTATTTGGTGAGGGGGGGGGGGTGACGTTCTGACCGGGATTCAAAGGGACGACTCGAAATATAATTATAATCCCTAATTTCTAACCGTAAAATTAGACAAGATTACAATTCTACTAACAACCTAACACGTCTATTTTTGGAAGTCTATTAATAGACAATAGTAACCACAATTATCCCTCTACTCTACTAAAGCTTGTTGACTTTCAATGAATTTATGTCTAATTTCAGATGCAGCTCTTCAGTTTCTGAAACAACAAGCCACAGAAATTGGGCTGGATTTCAAAATACTTGATGTGAGCGCTATTAATAGAAACATTGGGATAACAATAATATATGTAGTGCTTATTGCGTCCAATGATAGTGGAAATTCACAAGGTGCTAATATCCTCCCACATCCTGTGCTTATTTCAGCCAACAGGCTGGCTAAGGAATAAACACCGGTAGCAACAACACAAGATGTAAAGTAAAAGTAAAGTTCCTTTCAAACCTGACCATCTAATGGGCAAGTTCAACTGCTTCTGTGACCTTGGCATGTTTAGGTATAGTGTTGTCAGGACTATGCCCAGCCGCCTTTACTCACCCTAATGTAAGTTAGGTAACCATCAGAGTTGTGTGGACTCAGGGACGATGTACTGACTTGAACCTGGATTCGAACTTGAGACTTATGGCCAGGCCACTTCGTCCCATAATAACACAAGATGGTTTTTCATTAATTCAGTTTAAAATTATTAATATTTGCTCTGATGAAAATCATCCATATTATTTTCTTAGACTATCCCTAGCCATAACCCTACATGAAACCATAATCACTAGCCCTAAGCCCTAGTAAGATATATTGTGTTAAACAAATAACATAATTAATAGCACAAGCAAGGCTATTTAGAAAGAATAAAATATTATTTTTTTTTAAATTTTAGAGTGGTGTAACAGGAAAACCTTTGGGCCTGATGACATGGAAGGGACAGCAACCAGAATTAAAATCTGTACTTCTTACCTCCCATATGGATGTTGTACCAGTGTTTCCTGTAAGTGATTTCATTTTAATTATATTCATGACCCAGAAACTTATCATTAAGGAAGCCTTAGTTAAAATTAATTTGACTAAATTATAAATGGAAATTATTTTTTTTTTATGTAAGAAAACATTTTAAAATATTTTTTGCATTAAAATTAAAGTTATGTTTTTTTTTTGGATGACTGATGATTTTACTTTCTTCAAGTTAGCTCTGGGTCTAACAACTATTAAAGTTACCAGTGTTAAACTATTTGTGTTGTACATGTAGGAAAGAAGTTATCCGATGAAACAATAGAATTTTGTATTTAAGAAAGAAGTAATCAATGCTAAAGCGGTTGCACTTTTTATTTAGGAAAAATGGACTCATGAACCATTTAGTGCAGACAAAGATGAAAAAGGAAACATATATGCAAGAGGCGCCCAGGTTAGTTTGCTGTGGTTGACTATATCTTTATCATTATCAACATACATTAGGGCTTATATGAAAGTAAAAAATCCCAAAGTATTATAAAACCATTAAAGCGCAATTTTTCTACTCTAACAGTATAAGAATCGTTGCTGTGACAGTCCAATATAGTGTAACATACTTGCATATGTTGTGAAATACTTTACATTCATTGTAATTCATTCAGAATTTATCTGTTAATTAAGCATCATCTCCAACCTATATCTCTCAGTAAAATAATATAAGTATAAAGACCAACACCGTATACAGTAGGGTATATCATGAATACAATTTGAAATGAAAATGATTTTAAAAAGAGAATACTGTAATAAAGTTAAAGCTCTTAGTGTAGAAAAAATATATAAGGTTAACCTGAAAATTCAATATTGATCTACGCTAGTACTGTATTTTGTATATTTTCAGGATATGAAATGTGTCACAAGCTGGTAAGAAATTAATGAGTATGGTGACAGGTGCTTTATCTTATTGTACCAGTGTTGTATTAATGTATTGTCACGTCTGTGATGAAGAATTTTTTTTTTTCTTTTGTACTTGTGCTTGATAAATGAGTTTCAAAATGCTTTTGTGTTCTCATCCTTTCAAATTTTACAGTATATCACCCATTGAAGTTTTATTGTTGATCTCTGTCAAAGTTGTATTGTTGTCTATGAAAATAGTCTCTATTAAAATCAATAGATTCTACCGTATCATCTGTAAAATGTTTATGTTTTCATCATTGTTTTGAATAATTTGAAATCTGATAGTATTATCTGTACAAATTTGATACAAAAAATGTTTATCATTTTTCAATTTCTGATCTCAATATCCGTTAGAGTTAACTTTTATAATCTATTCAGATCTGATAAAATGTTTGATAGTAATGATTTTATAATCAGTCCAAGTCTGATAAATATATGATATAGTTATTATCTATCAAAATCTGATAGTGTTATCTATAAATATTTGATAGTATTATCATTTATCAAAATCTGATAGTGTTATCTATAAATATATGATAATGTTATTATTATATACCAAAATCTGATTGTGTTATCTATAAATATATGATATTGTAATTATTATATACCAAAATCTGATTGTGTTATCTATAAATATATGATATTGATATCATCTATCAAAATCTGATAGTATTATCTATAAATGTTTGATAGTGTTATCTATATATATATTTGATAGTGTTATCATCTATCAAAATCTGATAGTGTTATCAAGTTATTGTTTCCCCAATAACCAGGTACTTAGAGGCTATCAGAAACCTAAAAGCTCAAGGGAAGACATTTGCCAGGACCATTTACTTGCTGTTTACATCAGGTAAGGTTTACCTGTACACATGTACATTTGTTTAGCACAACAGGGAAGGGTTTATCTGTACACATGTACATTTGTTTAGCACAACAGTAAGGGTTTATCTGTACACATGTACATTTGTTTAGCACAACAGAGAAGGGTTTATCTGTACACATGTACATTTGTTTAGCACAACAGTAAGGGTTTATCTGTACACATGTACATTTGTTTAGCACAACAGAGAAGGGTTTATGTGTACACATGTACATTTGTTTAGCACAGCAGTAAGGATTTTGTGTACTCTAAACATTTACATTTGTTAAGTACAACAGGTAAAGGATTATGTGTACACAGTACATGTACATTTGTTTACAAGTTGACACAGCCCAGATTATCTGTTGTGTAGAAGCTGTTATTTGCTAGTGTTTACTAACCTAACTGTAACCCTGACCTTTAATTTGACCTCAACAGCACCAGCAGCTATTAACCAACAAAATAAAACCAACATCTTAATCATTCTGAAGTGGTGTATTGCTAAGACACAATACACTACAGTAATATAATACAGGCACTTAATTAAAAAGTTATTTCTGTTTGATTGTGCTGCTAAGGTAGCTTTTATTTTTTGCTAACCCAAGTACACATAATCCTATAATGTATTTGAACTGTGAACTGTTGTAATGATTCTAATATCACAATAAATAATTAGAGATATCCTTAAAATTTTTAACATTTATTATTCTTGCCATTATATTGTTAGGAATAAAAGATTTAGACCAGTGTTTGCCTAACACTATTTAGTAAGATAGAATTTAAATAATATTTCAATTCTACAAAGTTTATATAACTTAACCTGCCACAAGTAAAGGGTTAAACTCCATCTGACTCTTACTTACCTGGTAATGTTTTAAGAAAATGGATCAAAATATTACCTTGAGCCTCTAAAGTTTGTTTTGCTGATCGGTTTGTGCTTATTTTATATGGGCATTTACCCCCACCCAGAGTAATTACCTAATTACCCCCTGTCAATCCCCCCCTCTTTCCGGCCAAGTAGGACATTACCCCCCCCCCCCCCTCCCCTGTCATAGCTTAAAGTACAACGAGGGTAAGGAAAATTGTTAGAGTGAAGGTTAAGGATAGTGTTAGGGTTAGGTTTTTGGCTGAGGTGAATGCTTAGGTTTTGGTCTTTTTCTTAAGGTTAGGATTAAGTAATATATAGGTATAAAGTTGGAGTTAGAGTCAGGATGTTAACTTAATGGAGGGGGGGGGGGGGTAATTCCCCAGGGGGTAATTGATGGGGGGTGGGGGGGGGGGGGTAATGTCCTAGACTCATTTTAGAGTAATTAAAGAAAAGTTACTAGAAGTGAAAAGTATTAATTCCAAAATTTTAATTCAACAGAGGAGGAAATAGGGAGCAAACCAGCTCAGGTTTTTTCAACTTCCAAGCAGTTCCAGGACCTGAACATTGAATTTGGGTTGGATGAAGGTAAATAGTTCACAGGCAGAATTTTCACTTTTCTATACAAATTTGAATTAGATGAAGATAAATAGTTCAAACACAGGATATTTTTTTTTCTGTACAAATTTGAATTAGATGAAGGTAAATAGTTCACATTCTGAATTTTCACTTTTCTAAACAAATGTGGATTAGATGAAGATAAATAGTTTACTGGCTGAATTTTCACTTTTCTGTACAGAAAAAAGTAGTTGGCTTTAGAATTTTAGTGTTGCCTGATAAGTTGTTTATGGAAGAGTTTAAAAAGAAAAACAACTTTATGTCTGAGTTTTTAAAACTTCAGGTCACACTGTGAAATTTGTGGCATGTTTATAGTCATTTTAAAGAAGTTTCTTTTTAAAAATTTTGGCAGAACAAAAATAAATTGATGACATACTTACAGTTTAAAAAACAAAATCTATGCACAGGTATTGCAAATCCTGGTGAGAAGATGAGAGTTTTCTACGGTGAAAGGTCAATCTGGTGTGAGTTGCACTTTGTCTTATATAAAAATGTTAACAAGCATGTGTTAAATAACACTGAAGCTGCCTACTGATCTTGAAGCTGTTAACCATTACTGAAGCCGAGTTAACTATTACTTAAGCAGTTAATCATTACTTAATTGATTATATCTTATATAGTATGGTCGGATGGTAGAGCTCATGGCTGCTAGCCCAAAAGTCATAAGTTTGAGTCTCGGGCTCAATTCTTATTGACGACCCTGAGTTAACTCAGCTCTAATGGGTACCTGACTCACATTTGGAAAAGAAAGTGGCTGGGCATAGCACTATCCCCTTGAATTCTGAGGGTATTGAAATAGATTAACTCTACTTCATTTTCCCCATATGTCTTGGGTATGAATGGGAAAAGATGAAGATTACTGAAGCTTTTTACTAATACAGAATCTTTTAATTTAAACTTTAATTAGATTTTAAGACATCACTAGTAAAGCATCCAACTAACTGTGCTTTGTATATATTATCATAATTAAAACACAGTTTTGTTCTATCAGGGATTAAAGTACTTTGTAAAGGCAGCCCTGGTCATGGATTGGCTTTCATTGAAAACACAGCAGCTAAAAAACTGGTCAGTATTTTTCTTTCGCTATATAGCGGTCTACTTATCTTTGTCTTAATCTTTTGGAAATGAGTGTTCTCAAATGTTAAGTTATATTAGGGCTCATCTAAAAATGATTTCATACACCTTAATGGGGTGGGGGGGGAGGGGTTGGGGAGTTTGACTTAACTGTTAGTGTCATGGATTTTTTTTTCCTTCTGATACCAGCAATACATAATGAACAAGTTTCTTGGACTGCGAGATGAGCAAGAGAAAAAGTACGTAGTACATATAAAAAGCGTTGTTTAATAAAAATTAGAATTTTAACTTCATATTTTAAAAAAAAAATGTTATTACTGAAGTTCGTTGCACTGGACATAGACTTTCAGATTAGCTGTGTTTTGACATGATCATTCAGCCGTACAGTCCAATATGTTTTGGTTGTATTAAATTTGCTGTGTGATTGTTTTCAGGTTCAAAGAAGATCCTAGCAAGGGGCTTGGAGCATTCACAACTGTTAACATGACAATGTTGGAGGTATGTAAAGATATTGTGTGTATTAAAAAATCTCGACACCAGTATATTTGTAATATTATTGTTCTTGTTATTTTATGTAGTTTATTTGCGGGATTTTTAACTAGCATTTAACTTTCATTGAATGTTTGTCTTCAACTCTAGGGTGGCGTGCAACCCAACGTGGTCCCAGCCGAGTTATCTGCCAGTAAGGATTGTTTTATACATGTTTTATTTTAGTATATTGGATAATGAATATTTTTATATTGATTTTACATTAAATGTTTATTTTTTAAACTGTCAACTTAAAAACACAGCTGGAGATTTTTTAATTTTTTTTTTCTGACTTTTAAAGGCTAAAAATTAAAGCGACTTTTTAGGTCAATTTTTTTTTACCTCTACAAGAAAATGTAAATTTGAAATTTGTTTAGACAAATTTACTAGAATGACTGTATAAATAACCAAAATTGTTGTTTATCTTTCAGCTTTTGATGTGAGGATCCCGCCCACAACAGATTTCTCAGCTTTCAAAGAGAAAGTTTTGCAGTGGTGTAAGGAAGCAGGTCCTGATGTGTCTATTGAAATGTTACATGTAAGTCACATTTATTCAACACACAAAAACATGTTTTCATGCACTTAGTACTCTAGTTCAAGGTATCTTATGTAAAATTTAACCATTTTTTAACATCCAAATACTTTTTGAAGAAATGTCTTCCAAAAATGGCTGTCAACTCAAGAAACATTGCTGAGTTTATCTTTTAGAAATACAAATGCTTAGAGGTATCAAAAATGTGATAAAAACACGTATTATTATTTTTCTCTACCTTTAAAGCCCACTTTATTAATATTATTTATGTTGAAAAACTGGATGCCAAAAGGATCTATTTACACATGATATGGGCTTTTACTGCTGCTTGAATAGCTTTTATTTCGTACCCTTTCCCATGAATGTTTTCTACACAAATTTATAGTTAAACATGTCAATGAAATCTCACCTGAAATTATAAAATTCTAATCAGGAAGGTCAAATGACTGAGATGGTAGATGTCTCTGATGCTAATCCATGGTTTGTGGCTTTTAAAAAGGCTTGTGAAAGAGCGTAAGTATTAACGTGGCATTTACATATTTTATAGGCTAAGAATCTTCTTGTTTTTTTTTCAATGAGAGTTAAATGTTAATTTTATCTCTTTAAAAAACTGCTTGATTTACATTTCCATTGCATTCTATTGTTATAAAAGCAAGTTAAATGCATGTCATGTAATTTTCCTGTCATCCACAATATCATCCACAGTATATTTTTTTTTAAATGAATTAAAAATGTATACCATAAGGGTAGTGTATATTTTGCTAAATTGTAACCTATTAAACGATATGTAGATCAGATGAAAAACTCTTAGGCAATATGAAAGAAAATTCAGTTTAATCACTTTCAAATTTAACACAAAATTGGAATATTATTTTGTTTGATTATTGTAGCTTTAGAATATTATTTAACTAGAGTTTTGTTTGATTATTGTAGCATTAGAATATTGTGTAACACATTTAGTTTTATTATTGTATGATTGGAATATTGTGTAACGTGTTTTGTTTGATTATTGTAGCAATGTGGATCTGGAAACAGAAATTTTCCCTGGTGGAACTGACAGCAGACACTTTAGAAAGGTAATGAACAATTTGTCATGTCTGGACTACCAGCTTTGTGTGCTTCTTATTTTGGTTGTTGCCAATTCTGATTGCTATGTCAGTTTGTTCACAACATAATCTATTCTAAAAGTTTAGAATTTTTCTTTTAAATAAAGGATGGGTTATCATTAACTCATGAATAAAATACTGTACATTGCTAAGGATTTAATGGCAGTAGCAGCTTATGAGTGTTGAATAGGCTTGTCTATATTTGGGAATCTCAGTATTTATTTTCTAGTTACCATAGTAAAATTTCCCTTTTCAAGCCTGACAACCCATGGGGCTTGTAAAGTAGAGTTCACTTGTTTCTGTGAATTAGGCATATAAAGGAATAATGTTTTCAGCACTATTCCCAACTGCCTTTACTTTCCCTATCAGAGCTGGGTGGACTCTGGGATATTCAAACCGACTTGAACCCATATTCAAACTTTAGACTTTTAGGTTAGAATCTTTATTTATCATAATAAAAAAATCGCAACTCATGGTATTAAATAGCTTTGACAAAATCTTTTGCAGAAGTTTCTATAATGAATTTACAAAGTATAGACTAGGTTAGATGCAGAAGAAGAATATAGTGTAAATAAATACCAACTGTGGTGATGAGTATGAGAGATGTATATATCGGATGGAGTGCTGCGTGTGTGTCTACACCTTACTATTATGTTGCTAGGCATTGTTTTGTCAGGGTTTGTTAATGTGTTTATTGTTGTACCGAATGATCAAGGGAAACAACTGGTCAAGTGACAGCAGATGTGTTGTGAGTGGGAGTGAGGTGTGTAGCAGTGGGTGGTTGCAGTTAGAATGAGGTGGAACGAGGAGGAAGCATGTTTGTGTCTGAGAACGCAGAAACTGATTAATTTTAATGGAATAAATACACTCCAACCATAATGACTTGTTTTGCTTTTTACCAATTCTTGTTGTTGGGAACAACGCCCCCACGCTAAACTTGTTTATTTTTTATTTAAAGCTATGTTTTAATTACTTCATTCTTTATTTATAATAGTTTTAATAATTGTTTTATTGTACAAATTCCCCCATTGTGTTTCCTTAGGCTGGTGTCAACATGTTAGGATTCTCCCCTATGAACAACACACCAATACTGTTGCACGACAATGATGAGTTCCTCAATGAAAAAGTTTTCCTCAGAGGTATTAAAATCTATGAGGAGATCATCCCTGCCCTGGCTGACCTAGTTTTCTAGAACAAAATGGTGTCTGACCTAGTTTTTTTTGGAACCAACTTGTGTCTAACCACTTTTTCTAGAAGCAACTGGTGTCTGACCTAGTTTTCTAGAACCAACTGGTGTTTGACCTAGTTATCTAGAACCAACTTAGTTCTGACCTAGTTTTCCAAAACCAACTGGTGTCTGACCTAGTTTTCTAGAAGTAACTGGTGTCTGCCCTAGTTTTCTAGAACCAACTTAGTTCTGACCTAGTTTTCCAAAACCAACTGGTGTCTGACCTAGTGTTCTCGAACCAAGTGTTGAGTTTTTACTGACCGTTTTTGTACAATCTTGCTAAGTATTCTTTTATATTTTAAAGCTTAATGGTGATTTTACATTTAACGTATTTTTTTTACAATTGCTACTCTTGTTACTTGTTATTTATGATCAGGGTTTCTCTCAGCACTGAAGGAATTACTTCTGGTGGCTTGAGAAAATATTCTGGCATTTATCATTTTCATTTCTTTATGTCAATTATAATTTTCTGTTATCTCTTAAAGATATGTAATAGTTTGTCATAATATAAAAAAACAACCATTTGTGAAAACGTTAAAAACTTGGGTAAAATACGTCAATTTCTTGATTTATGAGCAATTGTGTGAATTATAAAAAAAGTTATCAGAAAAATGAATACAATTGTCCACACAAGTAATTCCACTTGTTGATGTGTTTTAGAAAAGCGCCTTATTGAACTTTATGTACATTTTTTAACATTCTTAATATTCAGAGTGTTGATTATACTAGAGTAAAAGATAGAATCTGAATACATTCTTAGAACATTTTGAACTACTTGGTCTTATAGATTTTGTTTAAATAAAATCTAGCAGTGGGTCTAATTTAATGTGATTACAATTTAAAATTATTTATTTTAATGATGTACAAAAAAAAATCATATGCAATATTATTTGGTGGAGAGCTAGTTTCATTTTCTTTTGCTCTAACTATTTTTCTTTTTTCTTCATTTTAGGCTGTTACATTTTATTCTTTATATTTTGTTTTATGCCTGTGTTAATATAGGTGCTGACATCATTATATAAACATTAAAAGTGCCCTTGAAGCTTTCATGATGCCCCTTACATGCTCATGATGTAATTGATTCGTTAGCAGCCTGTAAAGTCTCTGCCTACATGTTTATGATTTAGTAAAGACATGTGATAAAACTTAAGATCAGGTTTTCAAAACAACCAAAACTGTTCGGTTTTACATCGCTTGTTTTTTTTCTCCTTTGAAATATTTTTTTAGGCAGAGTTACTTCTCCTTAAGTTAATTCCCTTGAAGAGAAACCAAGCCCTTTTTTTTTCTAAAATTGTCCTCAGAATTTAACTAAACTCTGGCTGCAAGTTTTTTTTTTTTATGTCTGTTGTTTGCCTTATCTATGTTCTGTCATTGTACTTGCTAAATTTAAAAACAAGAAAAAAAATTTAAGAATTTTTGAAAGCTCTTAATTTATAATAGGCAACCAACAGTGGTTGAAAGAGGAAAAAAAATATCAATTAACTTTCCCTGTTTTACAAAACATTGTCATGGCATCTTGCCAAAGGTGGAACACTGAGGCTGTAAAAATAGAATATTTTTGCCAGTAGTTTAGGTAGTCAAAAAATATTGAATGAAATGTGTGTTAGTTACATATATGCAGAAAAAAGCATGTAAAAATAGAATATTTTGCCAGTATTTTAGGTAGTCAAAGGAGTATTGAATGAAATGTATGTTGTTTACATATATGCAGAAAAAAGCCTGTAAAAATAGAATCTGTTGTCAGTGTTTGAGCTAGTCAAAAGAGTATTGAATAAAATGTTCTCAGGTTTTTCTCAAGTTTGTGACACATGCATTTATAAATAAACAGACATGATAAAAGTTATATTTTTTTTGTTTGTTTGGTCGATTAAGAAAGGTATGATTCATTTAAATCTCAAGTAAATAAAGATCCCTTTCAAAACCTGGTGACTCGTTGGACAGGTAAAAAAGAGTGGTCAGCAGTATGCCAAGCCGTTTTAACCTGCATAGGGACATGCTACGACTCTAACCAGGGACCCGAACTCGAGACTTTCGGGTAAGTAGTCCAGCGCTCTACCACTACGCCATTTTATAAAATTCTAGTATTCATATTGCTTTGAATCAGTGTTTCTTCCAGACTTTTTCTCCGGGGGGGGGGGGGGGCACTTGAAATTTTCGGGGGGGGGGGGGGGGGCGGTAGACTTTCTTGGGGGGGGGCGGCGGACACTGTTAAAAGTATATATTTTCTATATAAATTATATAGATACCTGGAAGAAACTCAGCTTTGAATGTCTTCATGAGTTAAGTTTCTTTCATACTACTTTCTCGGGTGGGGGGGGGGGGGGGGGGCGGACTTCATTTTCCGGATGTGGTGGAGGGGGCGGACAATGGTAAAAGTATATATTTTTATATAAATTCTTTTTCGGGGGGGGGGGGGGGTGTAGAGTCTCCATCTCATCAAAAACATGACTGAGAGAAACTCTGCCTCAAACACAAGCACTATAGCTAAACAAGGGTCATTATTTTTTTTTTAATGTTACCACTGACGCGCTTCAATTTTTTTTTTCTAAAAAAATTTCGCCGTGTAAGAAATTTTCTCAAGATTCTTCAAAACTATGCGGGGATCTTAATTACAAGCAATTGAAAAGTGAAATCTGTTATCGTGTTTAAAAAAGAAACGAAACGAAGTGATGCCAGCAGACACCGTGACATTCATCCGTCAAGAGGGGAGATAACTTGGTCAAGTTGTACAACGAACTTTCTGCACACCAAAGCAAGAGAGCTGGGATTTTTTTTTTAAATTAGCAGACGACCCTTAAATTAACATATGATGTTCTCAAACACCAGACACTTCAGCGCCGTCTTAAGAAAACTACTTTTAATTAACCGGTTTTTTTTATAAGCAGTCTCGACAGATAGATAGCCCAGTTGTTGGTAAGGTATACATTCAAGGGCCTGTAATACAATAAAGCGCGAGTTGGCTCCCCTAATTTTTCATGTATGTTCGAGTATAACAGTAATGGTTTGGGACGATACTTCCTTTGGAATTGGGCTACAGAGATGATTGGTAAGTATGTAACTGCTTGTTTTTCAAGAAAACACAAATAGGCGAAAAGTACTTAGAATATGCTGCTTTATGAGAGTCTGATATAAAATTTAAAAATTTGAAGGTTTTTAAGTATAATAATATATACGAGCCGACCCGCGGCGTATCATACGCCGCTATTTAGTTGTTTTATTTTCTACTTTTCAGTCATTCATAATTTGTGAATTCGACAGTACCAATGCTGCCACTGAAAATATTTGCTTTAAAACACTAACCCCCCCACCCCTTTCCCCCAACCCCAACCCCTACCCTACACCCCCCCCCCCCCCCCCCCCGTGAAAGCAGCCTCCTCTTAGTTACCTCCTGTAAGTTTAAAATCGTTTCAAACTAAATTATCTGCCCCTAATAGCCGTCACTAAACCCGACTACGATTTGTAAACATTTAGAGTGAACCACAGCTCACCAGATCATGTGGGGGTGGGGTGGGGGTGGTAGTGATAGTGATAGAGAGGAAGAGAGGGGACTGCAAAGGAGCGCTTGCAGCTTGTTTTCTAACGGCTCCCAGAAGAGAATTATATATATAGATATATAAATATATAATTATATATATATATATATATATATATATATATATATATATATAATTATATATATATATATATATATATATATATATATATATATATATATATATATATATATATATATATATATATATATATATATATATATATATATATATATATATATATATATATATATATATATATATATATATATATATATATATATATATATATATATATATATATAATTATATAATTATTTAATTATATAATTATATATATATATATATATATATATATATATATATATATATATATATATATATATATATATATATATATATATATATATATATATATATATATATATATATGTATATGTAAAATATATGCGTGCGCGACTTTTCTCTTGAGTATCTCTAATTGAAAATAAATGCAACATGCAGCACTTGGTCTGTGCTTGTTTTCCTTCGCTAGGATCAATGTTGTCATACACTAGGTCACATGCTACATGCAGTGATTGCTCTACCTAAGCTCTAAACATGACCCCCTGAGAGAAATAGCAGGTAGGCGGTTTTTGTTTTGGCGGGCTGGTTAGTGCTGGCACGAGGGTTAGGATTTGAGTTACGGTCGGAAAAATGTTTAATCCGTGCACGTATCGGCATTTTATATATATATATATATATATATATATATATATATATATATATATATATATATATATATATATATATATATATATATATATATATATATATATATATATATATATATTTGTTGAGAGGAAAATAAAAAACGATCAAAATTGACAGAAGGTTTTGTTTATTTGGATGACATATATAAGAAAATTTGATGTTTAAAAAATCTTCCTACGCAACTGCTTCATTTTACAATGTGGAGGAAACCAAATGAAAGCCATTTTACCTGTCCATCAATAATTCGATAAATAACTTCACAGTTATAGAAACTGGTAACCTATTTGCCTCTAGATTCAGAAGTCGGGTCGCTTTAGGAGAGACAACTCCTTTATCAAACAATTGCTGCCTTGTAGTTTGTTCTTGGTTGGACAAAGGCTATACACGGAAGCAAACCAAAAAGAAAAGTATGCTCAAACCGAAGTCAACGATCTAGATGACCCGTAATACTAGATTGCATTGTATTAACTCACAATCCAACACTAGATCTAGAATTAAGAACGAAGAAGATGTTCACTTCACTGAAACATTTGTTTAAAAGGACATAATTTTATAAAGTATTTTTAAAAGTAAAATTTTCGCGTTTTTCTAGTTTCTAAAACTCACGTTCAGTACTCGTGTGTTTTCGTGTTAAACTGAACAGGAAGGAAACAGCAATGTTTTACACAGGAGCCAATAATGTAAACATTCAGATCTAGCCTCTTTTTAGAAGATATAGATCTAAGGCTTGGTATAGTTTTTAGCCAAAAAAAACTACAAAAGTAACTTTTTTGTTATTTAGAGCTCCGGGTGTCAATGTGTAAATTTGTTATTTAAAAAAAATATTAAATTCATTTTTAAGGGTCTAATTTTGTAGAACTAGTTTTACTTAGATTGTAGATCTAGATCTAGTACAAAGATCTGGATTCTAGATCTAGATTAAGACGTGACTTAGTACACATATGTAGATCTAGAGTAGGAGGTGGCTTTAAAGTTGAGTGACGTTGTACAATTATCTAGAGCAGGGGTCACCAAACTTTTCAGTCCGAGGGCCGCTTTAACTATCTAATTTCAGTACGGGGGCCAGTTTCTTCCAGGCATGTCTTTGATTTTTCTGGGCAAAGTTCCTCAACCATCACCAACAAACGATTTTTCCTTGGACAAAAAGATCTCCGCGGGCCGGATGAGAGGACTTCGAGGGCCGCATCCGGCCCGCGGGCCGTAGTTTGGAGACCCCTGATCTAAAGTAAGACTTGATTTGACACAAACATCTATAGTATAGGGTAAATATGTAGAAAGATATAGATTAAAAAGTGATCTACATGTAGAGCAATGTAAACACACTCCCGATAATAATATTTGTAAAAAGACTGTCAGATCACAATGAAGCAACGATACTCTTGTATAGATATCCTAGCATTGATTCAGCTCTGACCCCTATTCTAACCTTGCCTATCATTCTCGCCATGAGCCTAATATCAATACTGAGAGCACATAATTCGCGTACGACACTATTTTATCCTGCGCGTCACTTGCCTAAATGTTGTCTTTTACATGTGTTTAATATGGAGTCAATTTGTTTGATTCACTGCAGTCAAAGTTTTCTTTTTTTTTAAAAATAAAATTCAACATTGTGTTTGTATCACTAAAACGACCATTTAAAATATTTTTTTGTTAGTATTTTAATAATCCCTGTCCGTAACGCTAATCTCAATACTCACCCTATCTCTGACACTAATCTCTGCTCTAACCTACCTCAACGATAATCCTAACACTAATATAGCAACTACAAATTCAGTATGACAATGTCCTGCTTGCTTTTCTATGAAGGCAAAATTTCGAAAAATTATACACCTTGTTTTGAAATATTAAAAATTTTGTAGAATAAGAACCATATAAATCTACATTCTTACGTTGAAAAAAATAATTTGTCCTGTGTTTCAGGAAGGATAGCAGATGTGTCTCACTGCCAACAACAGTCGTGTCCTGAAGATCTAGAACTCTAGCATCCACCTACTTAACACAACACTTTTGAAAATGTCTGCTGATGATTTAGGGGTATCGACCCGTAAGTTTATGAATTATTTAATAATCTTATTCAAATTATTAATACTGCAGTTCAAAACAAAATATTTTATACGTTTTATAAATTACGGACTTCTTATCCTGCTAGATTCCTCCTAACGTTAGTTTTCGACTTCTGGTTTTATCACCTATTTACTACTTTTGTTGCTAATGTGCTTTCCAGAGCTTTGTCTACTATTTTTACCACTGCTTTATTTCTTTCTTTTTTCCCTAGCGTTTCCTTCGAAAGATTTTTTAAAGTCGTAATCTTTTACAGTAAAGTTTAGTTCAAAGACAGCGAGGAATAAAAACGTAAAATATAAATAAACGAATTCTTTGACTCGTACAACTTGACGCGAACCGTTTTGACTCGAACCCTTTATCACGAACCCTTTAACCCGCACTCTTTAGCATGAAAAACATTAATATTAATGAAAGAATTGGGCATCTTTAAAAACAAAAAAACAAACATGTGTTGATAAAAAAATTTGATCTAACTTTAACCTGGATATTATGATTCACACGTAACCTAACGTACAAAGTAATCGATCCATTTGCTCACCAGCGTCGCTTATGGCGCTACTGTTGTGGAAGGTGTTTGATCTGTGTAGCATCATTTTCTCCCGCGAGCCTAACAGCTGATTTACTTTTTTATCCATGGCCAGATTTTTTATCTGTTGCTGATCTGGTTCTAAATTTTTAAGCACATGTTAATTCGCTGAACTAGATAGATGAAATACGTTTTTCTTGAGCGATGTTATACATATAAACAGCTTCGCTAGTTAAAAAAAAAAGAACTAATACATATCAATGAACAGTTACCGGATTCGAACAAATATCTAGGTTCGAGTTCTAACTTCAGTGTATGTAATCTCCCCCCCCCCCTCCCCCCTCCGCGCCAAAAATTTTTTTTTAATTGGAAGAAAATTCTGCGAGAAACACTGCCCGAATCTGTCTACGAAAACAACCAACAAATAATAAAGTTTTTTTTCTCTCTCTCACCATGATTTTAGCCCCTATATCATCACGTTTTTTCTCTCTCTCACCATGATTTTAGCCCTTATATCATCACGTTTTTTCTCTCTCTCCCCATGATTTTAGCCCCTATATCATCACGTTTTCCCCTCACCTCCCATGATTTTAGCCCCTATATCCACGTTTTTTCTCTCTCTCACCATGATTTTAGCCCCTATATCATCACGTTTTTTCTCTCTCTCACCATGATTTTAGCCCCTATATAAATAACGTTTTTTCTCTCTCTCCCCATTATTTTAGCCCCTATATCATCACGTTTTTCCCTCACCTCCCATTATTTTAGCCCCTATATCATCACGTTTTTCCCTCACCTCCCATTATTTTAGCCCCTATATCATCACGTTTTCCCCTCACCTCCCATGATTTTAGCCCCTATATCCACGTTTTTCCCTCTCCTCCCATGATTTTAGCCCCTATATCATCCCGTTTTCCCCTCACCTCCCATGATTTTAGCCCCTATATCCACGTTTTTCCCTCACCTCCCATTATTTTAGCCCCTATATCATCACGTTTTTACTTTCTCGTATATACGAAGTATAGAGAAAGTCTTGTAATCGTGCAAAAAAAAAAAATCGAGATTTTTGCAAATCTCGACGTTTTGCATCTCACTGATACGGAAAAACATAATTTTGCAATCTTGTCCGTATGTCTGTGTGTCTGTGTGTGTGTGTGTGTGTGTGTGTGTGTCCGTGTGTAAACACGATAACTTGAGTACCGTTACAGCTAGGTTGATGAAATTTCATATATAAGTATTTTATCAAAATCGTAGATCCGTATCAACTTTTGAGCGATTTCCGACAACCGGAAGTGGTACTTTTTCTACTTTGAATTTTTCAAAAGCCTATAACTTGAGTACTATTTCAGATAGATAAATTAAATTTCATACGTAAGTAAAAGATCTAATTCTCTACCTTCTATTAAATTTTGAGTCATTTCCGTTGACTGGAAGTAGTACTTTACGCTACTTCCGATTTCTCAAAAAACTAATGTAAATTTTAAAAGTAATAATAATATTGCGCACTATTATGCGCTTTTTTATTTCGCGTTCACTTGGTGTGCAATTAATTTGTCTACGAGATTTTATTATATTTTTAAAACTTTAAGTATTTAAAATGGATTAAAAATCATGTCTATAGCCCGAGTTCCCATCCCCTGTTATTTTATATAAGAATATTCGAGAAAGTTTAGGGGAGATCACTCCCGGTTTATTTCTCTCTCTCACCATGATTTTAGCCCCTATATCATCACGTTTTTTCTCTCTCTCACCATGATTTTAGCCCCTATATCATCACGTTTTTTCTCTCTCTCACCATGATTTTAGCCCCTATATCATCACGTTTTTTCTCTCTCTCACCATGATTTTAGCCCCTATATCATCACGTTTTTTCTCTCTCTCACCATGATTTTAGCCCCTATATCATCACGTTTTTACTTTCTCGTATATACGAAGTATAGAGAAAGTCTTGTAATCGTGCAAAAAAAAAAAAAATCGAGATTTTTGCAAATCTCGACGTTTTGCATCTCACTGATACGGAAAAACATAATTTTGCAATCTTGTCCGTATGTCTGTGTGTCTGTGTGTGTGTGTGTCTGTGTGTGTGTGTGTCCGTGTGTAAACACGATAACTTGAGTACCGTTACAGCTAGGTTGATGAAATTTCATATATAAGTATTTTATCAAAATCGTAGATCCGTATCAACTTTTGAGCGATTTCCGACAACCGGAAGTGGTACTTTTTCTACTTTGAATTTTTCAAAAGCCTATAACTTGAGTACTATTTCAGATAGATAAATTAAATTTCACATGTAAGTAAAAGATCTAATTCTCTACCTTCTGTTAAATTTTGAGTAATTTCCATTGACCGGAAGTAGTAATTTAGGCTACTTCCGATTTCTCAAAAAACTAATGTAAATTTTTAAAGTACTAATAATATTGCGCACTATTATGCGCTTTTTTATTCGCGTTCACTTGGTGTGCAATTAATTTGTCTACGAGATTTTATTCTATTTTTAAAACTTTAAGTATTTAAAATGGATTAAAAATCATGTCTAGAAGTCTATAGCCCGAGTTCCCATCCCCTGTTATTTTATATAAGAATATTCGAGAAAGTTTAGGGGAGATCACTCCCGGTTTATTTCTCTCTCTCACCATGATTTTAGCCCCTATATCATCACGTTTTTTCTCTCTCTCACCATGATTTTAGCCCCTATATCATCACGTTTTTCCCTCACCTCCCATTATTTTAGCCCCTATATCATCACGTTTTCCCCTCACCTCCCATGATTTTAGCCCCTATATCATCACGTTTTTTCTCTCTCTCACCATGATTTTAGCCCCTATATCATCACGTTTTTTCTCTCTCTCCCCATGATTTTAGCCCCTATATCATCACGTTTTTTCTCTCTCTCCCCATGATTTTAGCCCCTATATCATCACGTTTTTTCTCTCTCTCCCCATGATTTTAGCCCCTATATCATCACGTTTTTCCCTCACCTCCCATTATTTTAGCCCCTATATCATCACGTTTTTCCCTCACCTCCCATTATTTTAGCCCCTATATCATCACGTTTTTCCCTCACCTCCCATTATTTTAGCCCCTATATCATCACGTTTTCCCCTCACCTCCCATGATTTTAGCCCCTATATCCACGTTTTTCCCTCTCCTCCCATGATTTTAGCCCCTATATCATCCCGTTTTCCCCTCACCTCCCATGATTTTAGCCCCTATATCCACGTTTTTCCCTCACCTCCTATTATTTTAGCCCCTATATCATCACGTTTTTTCTCTCTCTCACCATGATTTTAGCCCCTATATCATCACGTTTTTTCTCTCTCTCACCATGATTTTAGCCCCTATATCATCACGTTTTTTCTCTCTCTCACCATGATTTTAGCCCCTATATCATCACGTTTTTTCTCTCTCTCACCATGATTTTAGCCCCTATATCATCACGTTTTTCCCTCACCTCCCATTATTTTAGCCCCTATATCATCACGTTTTCCCCTCACCTCCCATGATTTTAGCCCCTATATCCACGTTTTTCCCTCACCTCCCATGATTTTAGCCCCTATATCCACGTTTTTCCCTCTCCTCCCATGATTTTAGCCCCTATATCCACGTTTTTCCCTCACCTCCCATGATTTTAGCCCCCATATCATCACGTTTTTTCCCTCTCCTCCCATGATTTTAGCCCCTATATCATCACGTTTTTCCCTCACCTCCCATTATTTTAGCCCCTATATCATCACGTTTTTCCCTCACCTCCCATTATTTTAGCCCCTATATCATCACGTTTTTCCCTCACCTCCCATTATTTTAGCCCCTATATCATCACGTTTTCCCCTCACCTCCCATGATTTTAGCCCCTATATCCACGTTTTTCCCTCTCCTCCCATGATTTTAGCCCCTATATCATCCCGTTTTCCCCTCACCTCCCATGATTTTAGCCCCTATATCCACGTTTTTCCCTCACCTCCTATTATTTTAGCCCCTATATCATCACGTTTTTTCTCTCTCTCACCATGATTTTAGCCCCTATATCATCACGTTTTTTCTCTCTCTCACCATGATTTTAGCCCCTATATCATCACGTTTTTTCTCTCTCTCACCATGATTTTAGCCCCTATATCATCACGTTTTTTCTCTCTCTCACCATGATTTTAGCCCCTATATCATCACGTTTTTCCCTCACCTCCCATGATTTTAGCCCCTATATCCACGTTTTTTCCCTCTCCTCCCATGATTTTAGCCCCTATATCCACGTTTTTCCCTCACCTCCCATGATTTTAGCCCCCATATCATCACGTTTTTTCCCTCTCCTCCCATGATTTTAGCCCCTATATCATCACGTTTTCCCCTCACCTCCCATGATTTTAGCTCCTATATCATCACGTTTTTTTCCCCTCACCCCCATGATTTTAGCCCCTATATCATCACGTTTTTTTCCCTCTCCTCCCATTATTTTAGCCCCTATATCCACGTTTTCCCCTCACCTCCCATGATTTTAGCCCCTATATCATCACGTTTTTTCCCTCTCCTCCCATGATTTTTGCCCCTATATCATCACGTTTTTTCCTCACCTGCTATGATTTTAGCCCCTATATCATCACGTTTTTTTCCCCTCACCTCCCATGATTTTAGCCCCTATATCATCACGTTTTTTTCCCCTCACCCCCATGATTTTAGCCCGTATATCATCACGTTTTTTCCTCACCTGCTATGATTTTAGCCCCTATATCATCACTTTTTCCCCTCACCTCCCATGATTTTAGCCCCTATATCATCACGTTTTTTTCCTCTCCTCCCATGATTTAAGCCCCTATATCATCACATTTTTCCCCCTCTCCTCCCATGATTTTAGTCCCTATATCATCACATTTTTTCCCCTCTCCTCCCATGATTTTAGCCCCACTATCATCACATTTTCCCCCTCTCCTCCCATGATTTTAGCCCCTATATCATCACATTTTTTTCCCCTCTCCTCCCATTATTTTAGCCCCTATATCAGACTATGGGCTGATCAGTGAAGAGGAAAGGGCGGCCCTGGGGAGGGTGAAGCTGGAAGAGGACATTTCCGATGAGACGATTGGCTGCTCAACCGCCACTCCCCTGGTGAGTAGCTCTAGAACATTTTCATGAGGAATTTATTAACATTGTCAGTCTATCAGAGGCGTAGCGAGGGGGGGGGGGCGGCACATATTTCCCTGGGCGCCGACCTTATGGGGCGCCAAAATGGGTTGGAAAATCAAACTGAAGTTTGAAGTGGGGGGGGGGGGGTTGCAAATTGAAAGTTTGAGGGTGGGGGGAGGGGTACAAATGGAAAGTTTGTCCCCGGGCGCCGGGAAGGGTCGCTACGCCTCTGCATTCAATTTCACCTTGTCAGTGATTTCGGTAGACGTATGATTTTTTTGCTACGGGAAATAATATCACTGTGTCAGCGTATACCATATGGTTTGGGACTTTGGTATTCTTTACGTGTAATTCTTGTTATATTCTTATGATTAACAGACCAGGTGAAGTAGATTTCATCTGTTTCTGTCTAGGCGAAGCTCACGAACAGCCAACAGATTTGAGTCAGTTATCGATATTTTCGATTACTTAAAAATATTGGTGATTATTATATCTTCTCCTGCTGCTAATTATGTGTTTTCTATTTTTTCTAGATAGTTGAAGCTAAGAAAATGAAGTCGTTCTTCGGTCCACCAATACCGAGTATGTAAAGATTTTTACTCTGTATCGTTTTTTAATATCTCGAATACAAACCTGTAGCCTATGTGCCCAATGTAGAGACGCAAGAATTCAATTATTTGCTTAATGTGTTAGTAGCGTCCCTTTTTACGTAGTTCTGTCAAATATTTTTAGTAAAATATAAAAGAAAATAATGCTTTTTCAAACGTGAGATAAGGATACTATATAGATCTATAGCAACAGCAGACACAATAGAATAACCATAACCCTATAAGAAAATTGTAAATAATCTTTTTTGGTCTGAAATTTTCTAACATTTCTTAAAACGAAAGAAAATAACGTCTTCATTTAGTATAATCTACGCTCAATTTTATAACGTTAAAAGGTTTATAAAGTTCTTTGAACTTTTTCATTTTTCATTTTTTAAACGCAATTTTACCCCTTTACACCCAATATTAAACTCTTCTTTTCACAGTGTGACACCCACACTTTTACCCTGCCACACCCACACTTAAACTGTTCCATACCCACACTTAAACCTTGCCACACCCACACTTAAACCCTGCCACACCCACAATTAAACCCTGCACACCCACACTTAAACCCTGCCACACCCACACTTAAACCCTAACACACCCACACTTTAACCCTAACACACCCACACTTAAACCCTAACACACCCACACTTAAACCCTAACACAGCCACACTTAAACCTTGCCACACCAACACTTAAACCCTACCACACCCCTAATGAAACCCTGCCACACCCACACTTAAACCTTGCCACACTAACACTTAAACTGTGCCACACCCACACTTAAACCCTGCCACACCCACACTTAAACCCTGCCACACCCACACTTAAACCCTGCCACACCCACACTTAAACCCTAACACACCCACACTTAAACCCTAACACAGCCACACTTAAACCTTGCCACACCAACACTTAAACCCTACCACACCCCTAATGAAACCCTGCCACACCCACACTTAAACCTTGCCACACTAACACTTAAACTGTGCCACACCCACACTTAAACCCTGCCACACCCACACTTAAACCCTGCCACACCCACACTTAAACCCTGCCACACCCACACTTAAACCCTAACACACCCACACTTAAACCCTAACACACCCACACTTAAACCTTGCCACACCAACACTTAAACTGTGCCACACCCACACTTCAACCCTACCACACCCCTAATGAAACCCTGCCACACCCACACTTAAACCCTACCACGCCCCTAATGAAACCCTGTCTCCACAGAACATAGAGACGGCATGGGGGCGTACGTGGTACCCGTCGACGGCAAGCCACTGACCATACTGGGTAAATACAAACGATCATGTTAATTAGGCTAATTACGGTGATGAGCATGGTCAAAACATAGTTCAATGGTCACGTCGAATCGGTATAGCTCAAAGCCGATAAACTGACAAGTCATGAGTTGGAACCCCCGCAGATGAGCACAAAGAAGAAATAGAAAACGGGGTTTGTCTAAATACTAACTCGAAAGCTTGTTCAACGTTCGAAAAATATCGAGTTATAATATTCCAATCAGTGAACACTTACAGGAGAGAGTATATTTTAATTCCCTTGTATCTAGATATGCTTATAATTCCCTTGTATCTAGATATGCTTCTAATTCCCTTGTGTCTAGATATGCTAACAATTCCCTTGTATCTAAATATGCTTATAATTCCCTTGTATCTAGATCTGCTTATAATTTCCTTGTATCTAGATATGCTTATAATTTCCTTGTATCTAGATATGCTTACAATTCCCTTGTATCTAGATATGCTTATAATTCCCTTGTATCTAGATATGCTTATAATTCCCTTGTATCTAGATATGCTTATAATTTCCTTGTATCTAGATATGCTTATAATTCCCTTGTATCTAGATATGCTTATAATTCCCGCATATATAGATATGCTTATAATTCCATTGTATCTAGATATGCTTATAATTCCCTTGTATCTAGATATGCTTATAATTCCCGCATATATAGATATGCTTATAATTCCCTTGTATCTAGATATGCTTATAATTTCCTTGTATCTATATATGCTTATAATTCCCTTGTATCTAGATATGCTTATAATTCCCTTGTATCTAGATATGCTTATAATTCCCTTATAATTCCCTTATAATTCCCTTGTATCTAGATATGCTTATAATTTCCTTGTATCTAGATATGCTTATAATTCCCTTGTATCTAGATATGCTTATAATTCCCTTATAATTCCCTTGTATCTAGATATGCTTATAATTCCCTTGTATCTAGATATGCTTATAATTCCCTTATAATTCCCTTGTATCTAGATATGCCAACACCCGGACCTGCTGACTATCACGGAGACTATGCCGTTGTGCTTAAGAAATTTCCCGTGTTTTCTTTGGGTGAAAAGCCACCGGAGCCGAAAAAAAGTAAGACAAGAGTTTGTTCCAATACTACTGTCTATGTGTTTATAAGGACTGGGTTTTTGGTCTAGGTGTTGTGGTTGGGAGTTAAATACAGCTAAAAACGAGTGTAACTCAGTTGTAGTGCACTTTGAAAAAAAAAATTAAATGCTAAGATTATAACAATCAATGTGAATAAATCTTGTCAAGCACTTTATAATTGGAAACTCATCAACACATAATGTTATAATGTTTGTTTAAGCTCCTTCCAAAATTCATCAAAGTCATAAGTGAAGAAATACATAATGTAAAATTCAAATGAGGTAGTAAAAAGAAGTGACGAAAATCCAGTGTGTGTGTGTGGGGAGGGGGGGTAATAGAATTGTCTGCACTTGTGTGATGAACCACTAAATGTTTGAAATATTAAATTTGGACATTACTAGAAATAATATAATGGGTGATACATGTGGGTTTCCATTGAAATATGTAATGAGTGTCCATATAAATAATTCTATGGTCGATATATATTTGTCTATAAAAATACTCCTATGTCCATAGAAATACTTCAATGATCGCTTTATTTCTTCGTAAATAGGGTCGTATGTTATCCATAGACCTTGGTCTAGGGATGATATATTTGTCCATAGAATTACTTTATAGGTGACATATTTGTCCATAGAACTACATCTATGGGTGATACTTCATGGGTGATATATTTGTCCATAGAAACAGAGGCGTAGCGAGGGGGGGGGTGCGGACCGCATAGGGTGACACCATTTACGGGGGGGGGGGGGTGACACCAAGGCAAAAAATAGCAAAATATATAGAGAAAAATGATAATTCTACTAAATTAAGTGTAATTCGAGTGTTAAACAGTGTTTTAAGAGGTACAAATCGAAAATTTGAGGGGGGGGGGGGGGGGGGCGGGGGGTTGCAAATAGAAAATTTGAGGCGGGCAGGGGGTGCAAATCGAAAATTGAAAGTTTGTCCCCGGGAAGGGTCGCTACGCATCTGGGGTGTGACACCATTAAGTGCCGCACCGGGTGATACCCGACCTCGCTACGCCACTTCATAGAAATATATGTATGGTGGATTCTTGTAACGACCATGAGCCCTATAAACACACTGTATCAGTTCCTAAAACCAGTCTATTTGTAACCAGAGAAGGGGGTGCCAGGACCTAACAGGTACAACACAACAGGTGACCTGGCCTGGGGCAAGTGTAAGCGGATCACCCTCAAGTCCAGACACCCGCCGCTCAAAATCAGTTAAGTCAGATCACTCTTTGGTGTTAGAGTCTGATTAAGTCATGATAGCTCTTTGCATTAAGTCATATCGATTCTTAGGTATAAGCGTCAGATTAAGTCATGATAGCTATTTACTTTAAGTGATATCGAATCTTAGATATTAGCTTCAGATTAAGTTATATTAGCTCTTTACATTAAGTCATACTAGCTCTTCAAATTACGTCATACTAGCACTTTACATTAAGTCATTTTAGCTCTTTACATTAAGTCATACCAGCGCTTCTCATTAAATCATGTTAGCTTATCTCATTAAGTCATACTAGCTCTTTACATTAAGTCATGCTAGCTCATCTCATTAAGTCATGCTAGCTCATCTCATTAAGTCATACTAGCTCTTTACATTAAGTCATGCTAGCTCATCTCATTAAGTCATGCTAGCTTATCTCATTAAGTCATACTAGCTCTTTACATTAAGTCATGCTAGCTCATCTCATTAAGTCATGCTAGCTCTTCTCATTAAATCATGTTAGCTCTTCTCATTAAGTCATACTAGCTCTTTACATTAAGTCATGCTAGCTCATCTCATTAAGTCATGCTAGCTCTTCTCATTAAGCAAAGATAGCTCTTCACAACATAAATTGTGTGCCGCTAGAAATAAGCAGAACGTTTAGCAACTTTCTTCTACATTTTTAAATTTAAAGCTCGATCATTCAGAATACCTTTTGTTCTGTGCTGGTAATTGTCGTAATATAGTTTTTCAAAAAAATTAAACAATGAATTTTAAAAAAATCATAATAAATTACGTTCCTCATGGATTTCTGGCACTTTCAGAGGACCCCTCCCCGGGGCCGGCGCGGTACGCCCTCAACCGAGACATCTGCACCGGCCCAAAGTTCACGGCGATGCTGCGGCCGGCAAACCCTAACCGGATAACCGGTCTAATGAGTAAACTCGTCTTCATTCCCGGTGAGTTGGTAAATTGCGATAGAGCTCCCACAATGTCGTGTCTGAGCATTCTCAGCTCTAATGGGTACCCGGCATCAGGCGGCTGACCATAACACTAACTACTTAATTTTAAATTGTTGATGTTAAAATCATCAACATCGTCACAAATGGTTACCTGCATGCTTATTAAAAAAAAATAACCAGCTCTGTTTTTTTTATCTTCACACTTTGCTGGGTTATAAAACATAATGGGCTAAACTGATTACATTCCAATGTGTTGGTGTGGTCATGTTTTCACAATCACTATTATCAATAACTAGCACTTTCTCGGTGTTAATTAAACAAGACCTACCTTACCTTTGGCTTTGGACCCTATCAACTAAACTCAATAAGGTTTATTTCACCGGTGACATTGATACACTTGGTTATAAACAATACAGTAAATTCGCTACCTTTGATTGAAAACAAAGATTGCATACAAATGTCATGCTTAACTGACGATGTGTAATATGTGTTAGGAAAAACAAATTAATTTTGAATTACGAGATGAAGATTTAAGGCTTCTTAAGGTGTAATGAAAAGAAATATGTGCAATGTTTCTTTCAGACATTTTTTCTCCAGGGGGGGGGGGGGAAGCACTTGAAACTTTTAGGGGATGTTTAATATGTGTTAGGAAAAAGAAATTAATTTTGAATTACGAGATGAAGATTTAAGGCTTCTTAAGGTGTAATGAAAAGAAATATGTGCAATGTTTCTTTCAGACATTTTTCTCCAGGGGAGGGAGCACTTGAAACTTTTAAGGGACATACTAAATTTTCCGAGGTTAGGGGCTGACACTGGTAAAAGTATATATTTTCTATATAAAATCTATTTCGTTGAGGGGGGGGGGGGAGCAGTAGTCGTGCTGGGGTGGGGGTGGGGGAGGGGGAGGGGTGGAGATTCCAGAAGAGATGCCTGAAAGTAACAGTGAATATGTGGACGCCAGCTAGTGGATGAAATATTTCAGATCCTACTAATCCTGGGCCGGACTACTGCCCGCCAAGTGAAGATTGGTTGAAGAAACCCAGAACCATGGGGATTAAACCTAAAGACTTGTCTGCCAAGAAAAAAGCACCTGGTATGTGGTTTAGATTTCTTACTTTGCCAGTGCTTTGTGTTGAGTCAAGTTTTTTTTAGTTAACCAGTGCCTTATGCTGCTTAAATGTATTACTTAGCCAGCCTATTTGTGGTTTAGATTTATTTAGCCGCAACCTTGGTTATGGCTTAGATTTCTTATTTAGCCAGTCCATGTGTGCCCCTGTGTGTGGTTTAGACTTCTAACTTAGCCAGTCAATTTGAGTGTTTCAGTTTTCAAACTTAACCAGTCTACTTCTGCGTTTTTATCTCTAACTTAACCACTCCATGTATGGTCCAGACTTTAACTTAGCCGGTCCCTTGTGTGTGGTTTAAATATGTCTAATTTAGCCAGTCCATATGGTATCATTTCTAACTTAGCCATCCCATGTGGTATCATCTATAACTTAGCCATGCCATGTGGTATCATTTCTAACTTAGCCAGCCCGTGTTGTATCATTTCTAACTTAACCAGTCCATATGGTAAATGGTATCATTTCTAACTTAGCCAGTCCATTTTGTATTATTTCTAACTTAGCCAGCACATGTTGAATCATTGCTAACTTAGCCAGTCCATATGGTAAATGGTATCATTTCTAACTTAGCCAGTCCATGTTGTATCATTTCTAACTTAGCCAGTCCATATTGTATCATTTCTAACTTAGCCATCCCATATGGTATAATTTCTTACTTAACCAGTCCATGTTGTGTTGCATCATTTCTAACATAGCCAGTCCATGTTGTGTTGCATCATTTCTAACTTAGCCAGCCCACATGGTATCAATTCTAACTTAACCAGTCCATGTTGTATCATTTCTAACGTAGCCAGCCCATGTTGTATCATTCCTAACTTAACCATCCTATGTAGTATCATTTCTAACTTAGCCAGTGCCTCGGTTAAGTGTTAGGTTTTTGTCTTGTTTACAAAAAAAATGGAAGGACACCTTGATATCACCAGGCCCACAGACCTACAAGGTGCCTCCCATAGTCTCTGGACCCAAATGGCGCATTGGAATTCCAATCAAGAAAATCCAAAAGACAGCCGGTAGGTTTTACCTCATTCTATTTTAATGTGACAGTATAAAGAGTGTGATAATATTTTTCTACTTTACATATAAATACATACATACATACTCCATTCTATTTGAATGTTTCAACGTAGAAAGTGATTTAATTTGTAGCTATTTTACATATAAATACATACACACATACCTACATACTACTTGAATGTGATAGTATAGAAAGGATTATAATTGTTTATTATTTTACATGTTAATCCATACATACAAACCACATTCTATTTTAAAGTGACAATATAGAAATATTGATAATTTTTATTTTATTTTACACATAAACACATTCGTACCTAATCCATTATATTTGAATGGAGTATGTTTAGAAAGTGTGATATTTGGTTGCTATTCTACATATACATTCATACATATTACACCGCTCTCACGCAGTCAAATCCCTCCCCCTCACTACACACACACACACATGCACATGCACACATTTAATGTTATGAAATGTAAATTTACGAGTTAAAAAAAAACAACAAAAAAACTTTTAAAAAATGTGGTTTCAATTAAATAACGTTCTTAACACCAAGCCCAACCCACTCTTTTAGACGCAGCTAATAACACCAAGCCCACCCCACTCTTTTAGACGCAGCTAATAACACCAAGCCCATCCAACTCTTCTAGACGCAGCTAATAACACCAAGCCCACCCCACTTAGACGCTGCTAATAACACCAAGCCCACCCCACTTAGACGCAGCTAATAACACCAAGCCCACCCCACTTAGACGCAGCTAATAACACCAAGCCCACCCCACTTAGACGCAGCTAATAACACCAAGCCCACCCCACGTAGACGCAGCTAATAACACCAAACCCACCCCACTCTTCTAGACGCAGCTAATAACACCAAACCCACCCCACTCTTCTAAACGCAGCTAATAACACCAAGCCCACCCCACTTAGACGCAGCTAATAACACCAAGCCCACCCCACATAGACGCAGCTAATAACACCAAGCCCACCCCACTCTTTTAGACGCAGCTAATAACACCAAGCCCACCCCACTCTTTTAGACGCAGCTAACAACACCAAGCCCACCCCACTCTGTTAGATGCAGCTAATAACACCAAGCCCACCCCACTTTTTTAGACGCAGCTAATAAAACCAAGCCCATCCCACTCTTTTAGACGCAGCTAATAACACCAAGCCCACCCCACTCTTTTAGACGCAGCTAATAACACCAAGCCCACCCCACTCTTCTAAACGCAGCTAATAACACCAAGCCCACCCCACTTAGACGCAGCTAATAACACCAAGCCCACCCCACTTAGACGCAGCTAATAACACCAAGCCCACCCCACTTAGACGCAGCTAATAACACCAAGCCCACCCCACATAGACGCAGCTAATAACACCAAGCCCACCCCACTCTTTTAGACGCAGCTAATAACAACAAGCCCACCCCACTCTTTTAGACTCAGCTAATAACACCAAGCCCACCCCACTCTTTTAGACGCAGCTAATAACACCAAGCCCACCCCACTCTTACGCAGCTAATAACACCAAGCCCACCCCACTCTTTTAGACGCAGCTAATAACACCAAGCCCACCCCACTCTTTTAGACGCAGCTAATAACACCAAGCCCACCCCACTCTTTTAGACTCAGCTAATAACACCAAGCCCACCCCACTCTTTTAGACGCAGCTAATAACACCAAGCCCACCCCACTCTTTTAGACGCAGCTAATAACACCAAGCCCACCCCACTCTTTTAGACGCAGCTAATAACACCAAGCCCACCCCACTCTTCTAAACGCAGCTAATAACACCAAGCCCACCCCGCTTAGACGCAGCTAATAACACCAAGCCCACCCCACTTAGACGCAGCTAATAACACCAAGCCCACCCCACATAGACGCAGCTAATAACACCAAGCCCACCCCACTCTTTTAGACGCAGCTAATAACACCAAGCCCACCCCACTCTTTTAGACGCAGCTAATAACACCAAGCCCACCCCACTCTTTTAGACGCAGCTAATAACACCAAGCCCACGCCACTCTTTTAGACTCAGCTAATAACACCAAGCCCACCCCACTCTTTTAGACTCAGCTAATAACACCAAGCCCACCCCACTCTTTTAGACGCAGCTAATAACACCAAGCCCACCCCACTCTTCTAGACGCAGCTAATAACACCAAGCCCACCCCACTCTTTTAGACGCAGCTAATAACACCAAGCCCACCCCACTTAGACGCAGCTAATAACACCAAGCCCACCCCACTCTTCTAGACGCAGCTAATAACACCAAGCCCACCCCACTCTTCTAGACGCAGCTAATAACACCAAGCGCACCCCACTCTTTTAGACGCAGCTAATAACACCAAGCCCACCCCACTCTTTTAGACGCAGCTAATAACACCAAGCCCACCCCACTCTTTTAGACGCAGCTAATAACACCAAGCCCACCCCACTCTTTTAGACGCAGCTAATAACACCAAGCCCACGCCACTCTTTTAGACTCAGCTAATAACACCAAGCCCACCCCACTCTTTTAGACTCAGCTAATAACACCAAGCCCACCCCACTCTTTTAGACGCAGCTAATAACACCAAGCCCACCCCACTCTTCTAGACGCAGCTAATAACACCAAGCCCACCCCACTCTTTTAGACGCAGCTAATAACACCAAGCCCACCCCACTTAGACGCAGCTAATAACACCAAGCCCACCCCACTCTTCTAGACGCAGCTAATAACACCAAGCCCACCCCACTCTTCTAGACGCAGCTAATAACACCAAGCGCACCCCACTCTTTTAGACGCAGCTAATAACACCAAGCCCACCCCACTCTTTTAGACGCAGCTAATAACACCAAGCCCACCCCACATAGACGCAGCTAATAACACCAAGCCCACCCCACATAGACGCAGCTAATAACACCAAGCCCACCCCACTCTTCTAGACGCAGCTAACTTTATCTTCTACCCCCAGACACCCCCGGGCCGGGCGACTACAACCACAAGTCATCCATCGGTCAAGCCCCTAAGTATCCCTTTGGCACAGCTTTACCCACAGTCGTCAATAAATGTAAGCGGCGGTATGGAGCGAATGAGGAGGTGGGGGTCGAGGAAAAAGGGGGAGGGGGTCATCTCAATGTGACGTCACACTGTACATTTCACTATGATGTCACACTGTACATCTCACTGTGACGTCACACGGTCCATTCACAATGTGACGTCACACGGTCTATCTGAATGTGACGTCATAGGTCAATCTCACGTTGACGTCACATTAGTATGAATGTATCTTATTCGTCTTCACTGGTGTCATACAAAAAAAGCCAGGCTACAAAGATTTTGTTTACGAAATGTTAGTATCACAATTAGTGTATAATACGGTAAACTTATTTAAGAAATGACACTGTCAAGTCTTTGTTATAACTGTCACATTGTCATGCCTTTAGTTGATATAACTGTCACTTGTATTAACTGTCATTTTTCACGTTTCTGTTTTAATTGTCACACTATCGTGTATTTATATATATGTCACACTGTCACGACTTTATTGTAACTATCACACCGTCACGGAGGGGCGTAGCGAAGGGGGGGGGGCGGCGGCGGGTGCGGACCGCACCGGGTGACACCATTTAGGGGGTGACACCAAGGCAAAAAATAGCAAAATATATAGAGAAAAACTTGAGGGGGGATGCAAATCGAAAACTTGAGGGGGGGGGGGTGCAAATCGAAAGTTTGAGGGGGGGGGGGTGCAAATCGAAAACTTGAAAGTTTGTCCCCGAGAAGGGTTGCTACGCCTCTGGGTGACACCATTAAGTGCCGCACCGGGTGACACCCGACCTCGCTACGCCACTGCCGTCACGGAATTGTGTAGGTATATCTGTCACACGGTCATATTTTTGTTTCGATTAAATTACTTTTCCGACTAGCAAAAAAGTGTCATTTGGTTTCGATCCCTCGACAGTTGTGACGCCCGGGCCCGACATGTACAACAGGGCGGGGTTCAAGCTGGATGAGCCAGGGTACACCATGAAGTACAGGTGGTTCGATACAAATAGTAGTAAGTTGCAGTTGTACTCTTGTCTCGCTTCTCTGGAGTCAGACTTTACTATAGTAAGTTGCTGTTGTTTTTATGTCTCGCTTCTGTATGTGTGTGTATGTATATAATTTGCGCTGTTGTGTTCTAGTTGCACTAAAGCAACAAATTAAGAAACGGTGTCATTATTATCAAATATTACCATTCCAAAAATAAAAAAGATAACCTTAGGATCACAAAAGTTGAAAAATATGTATTTATATTTTAAATAAATTAATAAATTTATATAAATATATATACATATATACATATATACATATATACATATATACATATATACATATATACATATATACATATATACATATATACATATATACATGTATACATATATACATATATACATATATACATATATACATATATACATATATACATATATACATATATACATATATACATATATACATATATACATATATACATATATACATATATACATATATACATATATACATATATACATATATACATATATACATATATACATATATACATATATACATATATACATATATACATATATACATATATACATATATACATATATACATATATACATGTATACATATATACATATATACATATATACATGTATACATATATACATATATACATATATACATATATACATATATACATATATACATATATACATATATACATATATACATGTATACATATATACATATATACATATATACATGTATACATATATACATATATACATGTATACATATATACATGTATACATGTATACATATATTCATGTATTCATGTATACATATATACATATATACATATATACATGTATACATGTATACATGTATACATATATACATGTATACATGTATACATGTATACATGTATACATATATACATATATACATATATACATATATACATATATACATATATACATATATACATATATACATATATACATATATACATATATACATATATACATATATACATATATACATATATACATATATACATGTATACATATATACATGTATACATGTATACATATATACATGTATACATATATGCATATATACATATATACATATACAATTATATACATGTATTTATAATAAGCCTATATATATATATATATATATATATATATATATATATATATATATATATATAATTATTAATAAAAAATATCAGATGACGAGTTATATTCACCTACTGGGATTAGTCTAATCTGAGCTCATTATAATACTAAGACAATGATGTATGCACAAGTACATTTGAACACTACCGTTTGGTCTCAGATTCTATAAACCTACGTCATTACATCAGTTTAATTTAGCAGGTTAATTGCATCTGGTTAAATGTGTTATTGAGGAGGGTAGTTCGAAACATTTTTTACTAGATTATATCATAATATTTCAAAAATCATCATGGGGACAACGTGGTCGAGTCGGTAAAGCTCGTGGTTGCTACACCGAAAAGTCTCGAGTTCGAACCCTCGGGCAGATGAAACACAGCCACACTTCTAGGAGAGACAACTCCAAAATCAAACAACAGCTGCCTTGTAGTTTGTTCTTGGTTGAACAAAGGCAATGGAAGCAAATCCAAAAAAAAAAAAAAAAACCAGACTGAAATCGGGCAGATGAAACACAGCCACACTTCTAGGAGAGACAACTCCAAAATCAAACAACAGCTGCCTTGTAGTTTGTTCTTGGTTGAACAAAGGCAATGGAAGCAAATCCAAAAAAAAAAACCAGACTGAAATCGGAGTCAACGGCCTCAATGGCGCATAACCAGTTGACACGTATACTTAACTGTGTTGGCTCTTCTAACACTAAATATTAAGAACACAGAAGAAGAAGAACATGTCATATATTGTATGTTGAGATCATGTATGTTTTTTTGTACGTCTTTCTCAACAGAACCCCACCCAGGCCCCGCGACCTATAAATGTAACGAGAAATGGGTGAAGAAACGAAACCCCGCCTACACCATCCAAGACAGGACAGCGCCAACCTACCCCAGTTCCCTCTACGCTCTCAGTAACATTAGACTTTGTTTCGTTCTCAGTTACATTGGACTTGTGGTTTTTTTTATATTAACTAAATCACTACGCTCTCAGTAACATAAACTTTTGTTTCGTTCTCAGTTACATTGGACTTATGTTTTTTTTTTTTATATTAACTAAATCACTACGCTCTCAGTAACATTAGCTTTTGGTTTCTTTCATTAACCAAATCTCTACACTCTCAGTAACATTGACCCAGTTTTCGTTCTCAGCAAAATTAGCCTTTTGTTTGTTTCATTAACTAAATCTCTCCAATCTTAGTAACATGAACTTTTGATTCTTTAATTAACTAAATCTCTATACTCTTAGTAACATTAGACTTTTGTTTCTTTAATTAACTAAATATCCTATACTATTAGTAACATTAATCTTTTGTTTCTTTAATTAACTGAATCTCTATACTCTTAGTAATATGAACTTTTGTTTCTTTCATTAACTAAATCTCTATGCTAGACCTGTCTAGTTTTGGTGGTAAGGCTGTCCAAATTACAGTAATGATGTTTCAAATGTAATGACCTCATTAATTCCTTTACTGAAACTACTACCGATTTTATTTTAGACCAAAAAACCTGTACCTTAGAGAACAGGAATGTAGATTGATACTCTCATAAACTACACTGTTACCATCTAGATGCTGATCTGATTATCTCATGGACTACTCATCTAACCATCTTAATATAGACTAAATTCTCTACTTGATTACTCATCTACACATTCAAATACAAAATCTGATTTTCCTTTTAGACTACTCTTGCCACCATCTAAATATGGACTTGGTCCACCAATATACTTCTCATCTAACCATCAAAGTATAGTTCTGATCCTCTCGTAGACTGCTTATTAAACCTTCTATTGTTAGATCTTATCCTAACAAAGATTACTAATCTAAACATTTATTTATAGACGTAATCCTCCCATAGACTACCCATATAATCATCTAAATATAGACATAATCCTTCCATAGACTAACCATATAATCATCTAAATATAGACATAATCCTTCTATAGACTACCCATATAAGCATCTAAATATTGACATAATCCTTCCATAGACTACCCATATAATCATCTAAATATAGACATAATCCTTTAATAGACTAACCATATAATCATTTAAATATAGACATAATCCTTTAATAGACTAACCTTATAATCATCTAAATATAGACATAATCCTTCCATAACTACCCATATAATCATCTAAATGTAGACATAATCCTTCCATAGACTACCCATATAATCATCTAAATATAGACATAATCCTTTAATAGACTAACCATATAATCATTTAAATATAGACATAATCCTTTAATATACTACCCATATAATCATCTAAATATAGACATAACCCTCCCATAGACCACATATAACAATCTAAATGTAGACATAACCCTCCCATAGACTACCCATATAATCATCTAAATACAGACATAACCCTCCCATAGACTACCCATATAATCATCTAAATGTAGACATAATCCTCCCATAGACTACCCATAGAATCATCTAAATATTGACATAACCCTCCCATAGACTACTCCACTAACCCCGGGCCCGGTCAATATGACGTACCCACGTCAACCATCATCGACACACAAGGAAAATCCTTCGGCACGAGACCTTGGTCACCCACAGAAGAAGATTGTAAGTTCAACACTTTTTTTAGTCTTCTCTTATAACTTATGTTGTAATAATATTGTAAGTTCAAAATTTTTAAGTCTTCTCTTATGTTGTAATAATATTGTGAGTTCACCACTACTTTTATTCTTTTCTAATGTTGTAAGAAAATTGTAAGTTCACCACTTTTTAGTGTCTTCTCTTATGTTGTAATAATATTGTGAGTTCACCACTACTTTTATTATTTTCTTATGTTGTAAGAAAATTGTAAGTTCACCACTTTTTAGTGTCTTCTCTTATGTTGTAAGAATATTGTGAGTTCACCACTACTTTTATTCTTTTCTAATGTTGTAAGAATATTGTAAGTTCACCACTTTTTAGTGTCTTCTCTTATGTTGTAAAAATATTGTGAGTTCACCACTACTTTTATTCTTTTCTAATGTTGTAAGAAAATTGTAAGTTCACCACTTTTTAGTGTCTTCTCTCATGTTGTAAGAATATTGTGAGTTCACCTCTACTTTCATTCTTTTCTTGTGTTAAAAGTTTTTGTTTCTTAACGAAACATAACGGCAGTATTTACTCCTAGCTAAGTAAGACAAAAGGTAACAACATTCACGAAATAAAACGAAATTTTCACTCGCTGCTAACTTGAGAAATAATTAACGATACAAAACGATATTATATAATGACTTGAACCTAACATTGTAACAAAATACAGTGCGTTAAGTCAATGCATGTTTACTTCGTTATTTTTAAAATTGGAAGAGATTCTTTAACACAATAAAGTGTTACTTTTCAACATTTTTTATGAGCTATGTGGCCTGTTGATTTTGACTTCAGCCTGCTTTTTTTCTGCTTTTCTGTCTATACAACAACAATCTGGAAAGTTGAGAATAGTTTTTTTTTAAATTTCTCTCGTGGACGCGAAACTTAACTTAGTTACCCTGCGGATTCGAACTCGGAGACTCTTGGATTTAACTGTCATATGCTCTACCACCGCCATAGCAGCTTATCATACACTTTCAAAAAGGAGATATAACTATTAAAACATCAGGCTAATTCAAAACACATCGCATTGTATTATCATTTCAATACAATACATTACATCAAAAGGTAAAGAGACTGCGGGGTCAACTGGTAGGGCGTTCGACGGCTAACCCAAAAGTCTCGAGTTCGCGTCTCTGCTTACAGTCGTAAGGCTGAGTCCACCCAGCTCTGATGGGTACCTGTCTTACATTAAGGAAAGTAAAGGCGGCTGGGCCTAGCGCTGACCACACTATCCCTTCATATACCGAGGTCACAGAAACAGGTGAACTCTACTTCACCTGCTCCGTGCGGCCGACATGTTCAAAGAGATTTTTTTTACTTTACATCAAAACTCACCTCTGTTAGTTTAAAAAAATGAGACAGTCAAATAAAACAGAAGTAGATGCATTATTTGACACAGTTAGTAAAAATTTTATCAACCCATATTTCAAATTACGCATGCGCCTTCTCCCAGCCCGGAAACAGTTTGTGTTTAAATAGCCGAAACAAAACCGTCTCTCAAAACGACGCAAATAAAAACAAAACAAAAAAATCATCTGCAATCAGTGTACGCTTGGTTTAAGTGAAGAAGATTTATTCCCGTGCCAGAGAGGCATGCCACAAGTTTTATTTATACCTGTAGGTTTACCTCAGATTTGTCTCCCTGTGCACACAGAGCGATGGGGGTTATTATCTCGTTTTCCTGTTTACCTCCCTTTTACACGGGGGGTAACTGCGAGTATCATAACACCTTGAGTTACGTTGCCTGTTTTCGTTAGCGTGAATGTATTGTTTAATTAAAAGCTGATAACGTGGAATTTTTATAATTATAACGATAATTAGATTTTGTGTTTAACAACAGTATCTGGAGTTTTATAATTATAATATTAATTAAGGTTTGTGTTTTATAAAACTGTATATAATGTCATTTTGTTAATTTGAAGCTTAAGATTTTAAATGTTTCTTCTTGTTTTAAGGGGTTAATCACAGAAAAACATAGAAAAATATAAACTTAAGTATGCCTAGACGCGTAGACTATTTATAGGTGACCCGAGATTCTAAATTTAGTTGTTAATTTGCCGAAAATTAGCAACTTATTCAATAAAGTCTAGCGAATCTAATTTAAATTGGGGGAAAAAATAGATTATTTTTAGGCGAATGTGATTTTTTTTCTATCATACTTTCATGACCCGTTTGCACTTTTTGGCCAATACCGTCTGCTGGAGGTACGAACTTCATAACATATGATAGACACATAATCCTTTGACACGCAATGAATTACCTGAAGATTATTCTGTATGGAGTGGTAAATAGGCGCAGCAGGGCTTGTCTAAGATGCTTGTACTAGTTATGATATACACAAGTTTTAGAATAGTGTTAAGGAGGTGTTTGTTAGTTCCATCCCATGCTCAGGTCGTAAGGCGGTCATCAAGTTAGGATTAACGATTGTTTAATAGTTCCTCTAGCTGTATCTTAAGACGGTCTAAATCAGGAGTTAGGGGTTTGTGAGTTCGTCTTGTTGTGATCTTAGGACGGTCTAAATCAGGAGTTAGGGGTTTGTGAGTTCGTCTAGTTGTGATCTTAGGACGGTCTAAATCAGGAGTTAGGGGTTTGTGAGTTCGTCTAGTTGTGATCTTAGAACGGTCTAAATCAGGAGTTTAGGGGTTTTGTGAGTTCGTCTAGCTGTGGTCATTATGCCGAACTAAGCCATAGCTAGCGATTGATTTTATAAAATACTTAGTTCTGAACGTAAGGCTGTCATAAAGTTACTGCATGTCTAGCGCAGACAACTGACAGATGTCTGTCAGGCAACTATGATCACAGCCCCTGGAATTAGTCTCAGTTCTACCAGTATTCCGTTCTCAAATAAATGGACAAACAGCACCTTAATGTTTTAATTTGAAAAAGTATGATCAGCGCTTCTCTGGGGAAGTGGGAGGGGGGGGGGGGACTTGAAACTTTCGGAGGGGTTGGGGAGAAGTCGGATCTAAATTTTCGGAGGGTGGCGTACAGTGGCTAAAGTATATACTTTCTGTATAAATATGTGTTTATTTCGTTCGGGGGTGGGGGCGGTAAACTTGATTTATGAGGGCAGTGCCATTCTCCCCCCCCCCCCCTCCACACACACACACACAATGAAGAGATGTCTCAGAAAAAATGCTTTTGTTTAAATGCTTTATTCAATAGTTTAAAATACGTGACAATTTCCTGTGAATGTAAACGATAAGAAAAGCATTGTACCCCAGCCTTCTCTATACGTCAGCATCTAATAACAACTGAATATTCTATGGTCATCCAAAAGAAAGCTTCCCTGAAAATTTCAGCGCGCTA